TTCAGGAGCAATCAATGGCTTAGGGTATAGTGAGTTCAGCAACAAGGTAGGAAAACCTGTTCATACCCAAAAGCTGCATGGGGATTTAGTCTCTCTTCGTCCAAGGTGGTTAGTGGCCACACTGTGGTAGTTTGGAGATGTAGATAAAGATCATGATGAAGTTTTTCCTCAGGCGGTGCTGAGGCAATGTCTACTTTGGGCAGATCATCTAGAAATGGCAGCAAGAGTACCAAGGCTGTTGTCATATTTTTGTGTCATGGGGGAATACAATTCCCGTCATCGATGATGATCATGCTAGATTTGTGAACTAAGTGGGGCATATGTTTGGGACCTACTGAGGAAGTGATATAGACAAAAAGGCCTCTGGCAGCTTCAGGCAGGACTAGAATGGATACTTTGTGGACAAGTCCTCTAGCCGTGTAGAGGCGAAGACTGATGTCAGTGAGGTTAGTGAGGCAAGGAGGGCACTTTCAGGCCCAGAGCTGGTGTGAATTCATGTGTCCAGCAGTGGTGATGGCAGTTAGCATGAAGCTTGTGTTCTAGTACTTAGTTTTGCAATGGACACAGATGGCAGCCATGGGAGGGGGTGAAGTGCAGAAATATGGGCACATACCCATGGAGATAAGCACCTTGATTTCTCAGGTCTTGGAAGTAGCTACTGTGCTGCACTACCTCTATGTAGTGCAGGGTATTATGTGGATTTACAAGTGAACTGAGGTCACAAATGAACTGGTGAGCCATTTGTTTCTTGTTCATGAGGCTCTAGCTCTTTGTGATAATGTGATAGAATGGCTGCATGATCTAAATGTGAAAATAACCAGAGGCTTCTGTCCCCTAGAACAGTATGAATTACAACAATGGCTGTTCTCTTAACAGAGCTATGGTGCAGCAGTCTAGGCTCAGGTTTCAGAGCAGGAAATGTGAGGTTGTTCTCTGAAGCAAAATTATTAGGCAGATTTCAGGCAACCAGCTCTCTTAACTGGGTACAAGACCTGTGATGAATGTGGACCTGTCTTGTCTTGATTGGTGGCATCACAATGATGGGGACCATTGTTTATCCTTACCTGTGAAATGGCAGAGGAATCAGTATCACAATTGCTGATGGACTTTGTTCCTGTGTGTACACTGCCATTAGAGTCTCTGTGTACCTGAGAATTTTTGTTTCTCCCCTGAGTTCTAATGTTCAGTTTTCAAACACTGACGTTCAAACACAGCTATTCATGTTCTGTTTTGTCTGTGGAGGAGGTCATTTATTGGGGACCTCTGTTACCATGTTGGAATTTCCCATTTTTAAAATTTGGCCTTTCTGTTAATGATTTAAAGCTCTTTCTATATTACAAATCCTATACAGATCATCCGGTCTCTCCCCTTGAAACCACCAGGTCTCAGTATCTGCACTTACCTTCAAAGAAAATTTACTCTGTTGTTGGGTGTCCCTCAGGACTGATTCCTCACCAACATGCACAGTGGCCTTATTCATGCACATACCTAGGCAGCAATTCCACATCCCCAAGACCCTAGAGCTTGCAGCCAGTTGGCACACTGGCCGCCCAAGGCTTGCTCACTGTGTGGCAGTAGTAGCTGTGGCCAGGGCCACAAGCATGGAATCGTACCTAGCTTGGGTATTCCATTAGGCTCCTGGGAGCTCTCTGCACCCAGGTTCTGAGGTTGAACTGCCCTAGATCCCTCCCACTGCACAATTCAGAACTATTGAACTATCAAAACCACTTGAGCAGTGCCCTTGGACCATATCCCAAGTCAGGGACTCTGGGATGGGTGGGAGGCTTGGTGGGGTTTCTCCCTTTGTCTCCCTCCTTACCCCAGATACAGAAAAAATAATGTGGAGACAATGGTAAAAAAAATTCTAGGCCTTTATCAGATATATAATTTCCTATTTTACAGGTTGCCTTTTTTTTAAAAAAAGATTTATTTATTTATTGGAAAGTCAGATACACAGAGAGGAGGAGAGACAGAGAGGAAGATCTTCCATCTGATGATTCACTCCCCAAGTGAGCGCAACAGCCGATGCTATGCCGATCCGAAGCCAGGATCCAGGAACTTCTTCCGGGTATCCCATGTGGGTGCAGGGTCCCAAAGCTTTGGGCCGTCCTGGACTGCTTTCCCGGGCCACAAGCAGGGAGCTGGATGGGATTAGAACCGGCGGCCATATGGGATCCTGGTGCGTTCAAGGCGAGGACTTCAGCTGCTAGGCCCTGCTGCTGGGCCCTACAGGTTGCCTTTTTACTCTGCCAAATGTCTTGAGATATTCAGCTTTCTTTTTTATATTCAGAAGAATATTTTATTTTGACAACCTTATATTCAGCTTTTAATTGTGAAGAATTATTATTTATATATTAAAAATTTTGTTGCTATGCCATTTTTCATATTTAATGAGCCATTGCCCAAATTCAATTTCATGAAATTTGTGCTCAAGTTTTCTTCAGTAAATCTTAGTTATTTGATTTAATTTTTGTATATAGTATGAATTAAGGGTGCACATTTATATTTTCACTTACACATATTCAATTGTGTAAGCAGTATATTTTTAAAAGAGAAATCTTTTCCTATTCAGTGCTCTTGGGAATTATGGTAAAAATGTTGACAGTAGACATATGAGTTTGAATTTCTCAACTGTCAGTTGCACTGTAGTAATCCAAAGTTCTGCTTTTATATCAATATCATACCGTTTTAATTATTGTAATTTCATCATTTTCTTCAAGATTATTTCAATGTGGGTTTAGGATAACTTTTTCATTTTGTCAAAAATATGTTTGGATTTGACATAATAGATACCCTTTGAAAAGTGTCGCCATATTAACAGTATAAATCTCCCAATCCATGCACAAGACAACTTCATTTCTTTCAGCAATGTTTTATAGTTTTAAGGGTGAATTTTTTGTATTTTATTGTAGATGGAAATATTTTCTTAATTTATCATATTGCCCATTGTTAGCACAGAGAAATGTAACTGATTTGTGTGTGTTCAACTTTGTTGAATTTATTTATTATTATTCTAATCAATTTTCTGAGTGAACTTTTAAAGATTTTTGTATTTCTATCTATCTATACATCTATTTCTATATATCTATATAACATTGTTGATTAGAAGTTGCAACCTAACCATCCTGTCTCTATCTCTACCTCTCTATCTCTCCATCTTTGTAAATCTGCTTTTCAAATAAATACATTAAACATTTTTATGCAAAAATACACTTTTACCATCACAATCCTATGTGGTATATTCTCTTGTGGAAACCAAATCACAAAAAGTTGAAATAACTTGCCAAGGGGTTTAGTCCGCAAATGGTCACAATGGCTGCAGATTAGCCAATCTAAAGCCAGGAACCAGGTATTTCTTCCAGGCCTCCCATGTGGGTACAGGGTCACAAGGCTTTGGTCCACCTTCCATTGCCAGGCAATAAGCAGAGAGATGGATAGAAAGTGTAGTGACCAGGACAGGAACCGGTGCCCATATGAGATGCTGCCACTTGAAAGGTTAGGATTTAGACATTAAGCCATTGCGCTGGGCCTTCAAATAATTCAAATAATTCACCAAGTAAAATTTAATAAGACCCTAGTTTAGTGGGAATATAAGCAAGGGTGATAAAGCAAGGATGTAGACCAAAGTTAGGCAATGCTATGTTTGCAGCAATGCTGATATAGCAGACATTTCTTTTTTTGTTAAGTTTTTTTTTTTTTTATTTGTTTCATTTCCCATAGATAAGGGAGAACATGTAGTATTTCACTTTCATCTTTTTGTTGTTGTTATTTGATAAAAATATATTTGCTGCAATGCTGATGCATAGTTATTCTTTTTAAGGTTTTTTTTTCCTCTTTCTTAAATTTAGCCCCCACATACAAGAGAGAACATGTAGTATTTATGATCCTGCTTCCTGATTATTTCACTCAACATGAGGTCCCCCAGTTGTACTGTTTTCACTACAAATCATACAATTCATTATTTTATGGATGGATAATATTCCATTGTACACACACACACACCCCACATGTTGTTCCATTATCTAATTAGGGACAACTTTGTTGATTCCATGTTTTGGCTGTTGTGAATAGTGCTACATCTTTTCTCACTGTCATTCTACCTTTTAAATGAGTCTTTCAAAAAATCTTGAAAAATGTAGCTAAAATACTTTTAAAATAATCATGCCTGCCTTGTGATTGGTGAGATAAAGCAGAGTTAAGTGCCCAGTATATATATATATGTAGAATTAAATGTAAGCAATAGTAGATGTATCCTTACCAAATGGAATTAGCCAAGTTCATTTTACAGACACATTTAAATGCTGAATTTAAATGCTTGTTTAAGAAAATCTGGGTGCACGGTGTCTTAGATGATAAGGGTTGAATGAGTCTTTGGAAGCCAAGAATTGTCTACCACATAGACAAGGACCATATGGACCAGAGAAGTAGAGAAATGTTTCCAGTCAAATGTCCAACTATGGTTCGACCTTGACTCCCATTCATAGAGAATTAGAGCCAGAAAGATCTTCAAGTTTATTTATTTCAACCCTGTTTCTCGTACTCATCCTTCATAAAGAGTTACTGAAGCACAATAAGATGGCATGGCTCCTTCAAAATCACAAAATCGCATAGTTTTTCAGAATTTCTTGGAACTTTTGGGAGTGTTGACAGTGAGGCACATACTAAACTGTACATATTCTTTGTGGCATTTCCCAATAAGATTAGAAACTGCCTGCAAGAAGGGACCATAGTTATAATTTATTCAGTTTCCCCATGTGTCCAACAATGGTTTCCACACTGCATGTTGATCTGCACTGATCTGTTGCTTCACCTGAGGGAAAAATTTGATTCAAAAACAAAACAGAATAACACACACACACACACACACACACACACACACACACACACACAGAGGCTTTCTTCTATATCTGCTGTTTCTTGTTATCCTTGACTAAAAGATGTGCTCCATCTTGAAAATCATGCATTCTGAATTATTCAAATTTCTTTCTCTCTCCTTCTAGACCAAGAGATGTCAGCAGGAGCAAGGAATCCTTTGTGATGGAGGCCGATTTGGAGCTTGTGAAATACCATTCAGCCCCTGTTCTTGAAGAGGAAGGTCAACTGGAAGATACTTCCCTCCTGCCACTGGATCCCACCCTTGAGTGTCACAGCCCACCTCCTGATTATAATTTTGTGGTTCACTACAGCACTATATCCATGTAACCTACTAACTGTACTCTTCCTTTTTCATCATATTCAAATCACTCTCTACTCCTTATAAAAATTAACAATGCTTTCCACACCCATGTCATGGTAACAATATTACTTTGATACTAGAAAGAAGAGAGAGAGCCATTTTATCAAGGAGTCCCCGTTGTGGCACACAACTGGCCAAAGTCATGCTGTTGGATCTGATGGAGAGAAAACATGTTGTACTGTCCATTTCTCTTGTAATTTAACACTTATCAACTCATCCAGGTGTGTTTAGAATCACAGCAGCATTTTAGTCAATCAGAAACTAAGATCACAATATATTGAATCCTCAGAAATCAACATCCAAACATGATTTGGTGAACTTCTGTCTGGGTATCTTTTCTTTAAAAATTAAACTAATGTAAAGCAACACATAATATCCTCCAGAATGTGGACTTCCTATTCATCATTTTATAAATGGGAAAACCAACATCCAGAGGAAAAAAGGAGTTTGTGTACATATCACCACACTACTAGGTCAGAGTGATTGCCACTGTTTTAAATTCTCTGACCTTATACATACACACCTGCATAAGCATTTGCTAGTGTAAAAGAGAGCCTAATAGGAGGCCTTGACTCCCTTCTCCTTTTTGGCTAATGTGCATCAGAAAACATGGCTTACCCCTGGAAATGGAGCCCTGATTTTCTGCTTCAAATGCTACAATTTCTTCTGTGGTGACCTGAATATTACTAGTACTAATAAAATGCAATGTATACGTAGGACACAAGGGCATTAGAACTGTATGAGGTATGCTAGATTTAGATGCTATCTACTTTGAAAAGTTTGTAAAGAGGCTCAGAGAATCATAGCCAAAGCCCCTATGGTTTGAGTCTGCTCAAAACAATGAGGTACATACAAGCTCTTTTATCTCTCCATGCCTTAGCCTTCTTCAAACACTGGCTACTTGACTTGGAATAAGTAAGGCAAAATGTATGACAGAAGAAAGGATGAAGAAATTACCAGTTTTCAACTGCTGTTAGAGTCATCTCCTTCTTCTAGGGTCGTTTTGCCACTGGCCAATGAAGACTCATTAGGTAAAAGGATCATGCTATCACTGGTTGGTAGTAGTAAAGGACCAAGCCTGATTTCTCCGGCTTCCCTGTTATAACGCATGTTACTTATGCTAACAGTAACAAGAATATTACCATTGTTTGGCTGTGTACCCAGTATCCCTCACCAGTTGTCCTTGATGCCCAGTAGCTTAGCCAAGTGTCAGGTTTTGCTAACACAGTTTTTATAGCAGGAATCCCAAGAACAGAAATGAATGGCATTATCATCAGCAGTAAGCCAACTTTATCAGATTCTTGGCCATGATTCACTGTAGATATATTATGTTCATGCTACCATATTTTGTTAGTATTTTGCCATTCTTTTTTTCCCCTTAAATATTGTTTCGTTCTTTTATGGGAATATATCTTATGTGGGCAGGTGCACAAATGAGGAAATCTCACAAAAGTCAGGGAAAAATGTTTTGAATAATCCATGAGTGGGTTTCAATTTCTTTCACCAAATGAATTTTTAACTTTCTATTTTCATGAACTTTTTAAAGTACCTTCAATATTCAAAAAATATGTTTGCAACTTGTTATTTCCATAAAATAATCTTATGCAATACTGACAGCGCTTCCATAGGCTGAACCACTGTCTCATGCAGAGTGGGCCTGGGTGTCCAACAATAGTTTTAAATGACAGCTCCTCTTACCATTTTCTGAATCACCAGAGCTTCTTTTCCTTTTGCATGTAGCTCCATCTAGTGTTTCAGATTGGGCAAATCTTTTTTTTTTTTTTTTTTTTAAGATTTATTTTATTTTTATTGGAAAGTCAGATATACAGAGAGGAGAGACAGAGAGGAAGATCTTCCATCCGATGATTCACTCTCCAAGTGAGCGCAACGGCCGATGCTATGCCGATCCGAAGCCAGGAGCCTCTTCTGGGTCTCCCACGCGGGTGCAGGGTCCCAAAGCTTTGGGCTGTCCTCGACTGCTTTCCCGGGCCACAGGCAGGGAGCTGGAAGGGAAGCAGGGCTGCAGGGATTAGAACCGGCGGCGCCCATATGGGATCCTGGGCGTGCAAGGTGAGGACCTTAACCACTGCGCCCTAAATCTTTTTTTTTTTTTCTAAGATTCTACATCATTCCCACTCTCCTAAATAGCTCTCTTTAACTTGGGAGGATAAGACAAGGAAGAAAAGTGGTTTGAAATTGGCGCTGGCCCACTGAATAACTTGACAGTTTGAGAGGAGAGTTTTATTTGTAAGGAGTTCAACCGACCAAGTTTTTCAGGAATCCTTACTTGGATGCAGAAAGGGTGTTTAGCTTGTTGTATTTCTTTTAGAATTTCTAAAGTTTCTAAATATCTTGGATTCAACATGATTAATGCTTAGCTTCTTTTTGAACTATTCTTCAGTGCTTTTAAAATAATCATGTGTAAACCACTGGAATAGGAAAGCTGTTAGGGCCTAGAAACAGTTTTAATGCTCTGGATAAAAAATCTGAAGCCACTCGGTGTCTTCCTTACTAGAGAAATTGTACAGCTTGTTGGTAACTGCTTACATCTTTTTGTTCATCTCTTTGAACTCCTATGTATTTGTGGATATTCCGCTACTGACCAGAAATAATCTTAAAGTGCCAGTTGTAGGAGGTGACAAAGGTGATTTTTCATAGATATTTTCAGTGTTTATCTAAGCCCTCTACCCTGCAGTCCTTCAAATATTCATTTCTCAGAAGTTTTTGATACACATACACACACACACAAACACACACACACATGCCTGAGTGAAAATGTATTTCAGAGATGCCTTGATTTACACATGGAGTGCTAATCTTTCCCTGTTAAACATATTAGGAGCCAGACCAAGCTATGTTTTTATCTTACCTCCACTCTCCACAAATCATGGGAGAGATATCTCCCAGCACAATCTCTTTCTATTCCTTCCCAATATGCCTAAACTGATCTTTTTGACAGGCAGTTGATGAGAGTGATTCGAAGAAATCACTGCCGCTTCAACCTCTGGACAGCCACAGATGTGCCAGTAATTGAGATGGCAGAGGGAGCAAGCATCACAGTAACATTATTAACTGGTCTAGCCACAAAATGACCTGACTTCAGATTCTGGGCCCTTCATCCATGGGACTTCTCATAAATCTCAATTAAGTACTGACTGTGTCATTCATTTTTCATTACTGTTGAGGACAAAAGATCCATCAACCTTTGGAGTTTATCTCTGCCAAGAGAAATGACATTATAAATTTGGATAACCATCAATCGTAAGAAAATAATTTGCCTCAGCAGGAGAGTAAGAGGAGAGAAATGGAGAGTCCTTTGGTGGTTAGCCCTTTAACCCTTACCATGGAATTGAAAGTTTATTTTACTGGACATAAGATATCCGGAAACTCTTCTCTATATTGCTTACAGTGCTATGTTAAACAGATGGAGGGCAAGGAGTACTAGTTAATAGGTTAAGATCATTGTAGAGCAAATGAGCACTAACAAATTCTCAGGTCTACCAAATAACTTAACACGTCAGAGACATTCTTCACCTACCATAGCTCACACCTTGTTTTCTGTCTACAGTGAGAGCTTAGCCCCAGACTCAAAGTTGAGAAACAAAAGACAAACTAAAATATGTTTCCTACGACATAGAGCTTTTCCTTTGCTTTTACTTTAGCTACCTGGAGAATATATGCAAATTAAGAAATCCTTCCCCATCAGTTACATTGTCTTATGTAATCAAAATCATATTGTAACTTTTGTTTTCAATAAAAGATTCCATGTGTATTCAATTCAGCAACACTGTGTCCCTACTTTTGTGTGATAGCAGTATGATTCTGGAAGTTTAAGCAACCATCTCTTTTCAGCAATCCTGTTTCTTTTTCTCACACTTTTGGGAACAGAACACTTTTGGCATTCTCCCCCGTTAAATGCCAGGGCAGTGCCCCCTTGCTGCCCCTGTTACTGTTCCAGTGGACCTGGGTGTGGCGTGGGCCATTCGTCTGGAAGGCACAAGTACAAATCATGCAGAATCTTCTCCACCGACATGCAGAGGGTATACATTTTGGGAGCATTGCTATCTTCCTAGATTTCAAAGAATGCACCAGAATGTCTTGGAACCCAGAGAACTTCCACAGGGGTGGTCCAACACATGAATATCCTTTAACTGGGGTAATGTTCACGGTAAAAGGACTCTCTCCGGCCCTCAAATCAGAAAGAACCACCAGCATGCCACTCGAGCCTGAGAGATTTATGGGTGTGTGGTTCCAATATGTAAGACTTGCTGGATAAGTTAAGTAATAAAAAAAAAAATCCAGGAGATTTGAGCCCTTCAGGTCCAACATCTTAGTGTGACCTTTGAGTAAAAGACTTGTGGAACCTTGATGTTTAGTAATTGTCCTGTGGAGTTTGGATTTGGCTGACATCTACTACCCATTGTTTTCCCTTCCTACACTCCTGTTCTTAAATGGAATATCTATTTTATGCCTGTTCCACCAGTTTGGAGAGATTCTCTGATTTAATATGGCTTCGTTTACTATTTTTAACCTTATAAATGTTACACACGTTAGAAATCAGACTTTTAATTTTGAATTTTGATCTTGTCTAGGGAAAAAGCGGTGAGCTGTAGTTCTTGTTTAGCTATGTGGTATGAGGGCAATTCACTGATACAGTACAGTGTTCTGGTTGTTGTTCAACTATGATATTCAGTAGGTAGTGTGAATTAATAGTTTTAATTTATAATATTTTGGGCTTATGTTTGTTGGTATTTTGTGTCATACTAAAGAGCCTCTGTGACTTGAAAGCACATACTCTGATTACATAGGTTCATGGCTACAGAATCATTTTGCTCATGTGTCATAGCTATTTAATTTAGAAAATAATCTGAACTTTAGGTTTTTAAACTGGCGCTGGAACAAATTAAGACTTGTGGGGTTCTAAGAATGGATTTAAAAAAAATTTTATTTTTAAGGACATAAATTT